GTTGTAATCACACCAGGATTTATAGGGAATAGAGAAGACACGAGAATGTATGTATCGAACGACTGGATTATTGACGTTTCAACACCCAAATACATAACATATTTTCCTGTGCTCGTCAAAACATTACTTTACTACTTTACTCTCAGGGACTAAGTGTGATATTGCTAATCGTCATCCGAACCAATGTGTAAACACCCTATGGGATTTGTAAAAGCGAAGTCTTTGAAAGTTATATCCCATAATAAAAATTTGAAATTTGAGAACCGTTTTGATTGGATTACGGTTCCGATGAATCATGTGAGTGCGCCTATCCTAATTCTGATCGGCCGTCTTAAAACAAAACAGTTTTCAGGGAGCATGCCGTCTGGCATTAGAATTATGTGACATATAATGGTTATATAATATAATTGACCATCGGTCGATCAAATAAGTTATTCAAGCATCAATCAGACATTCGTTTCCTTACTGTCCATCCACTCTCATCCGACCCCTNCCCTATCGGAATACCAACTACGTTGACTGGGTTCATTGGAGCCCCATATATGGTCGTATGCAGGATCACAATAGTGACTTGAAGGCACGGTTAGATCAAATCATTCTAATCCCATTGTTGTCATCCACACCGGTGTGTTATCAGGTGACTAAATACCACGAATTAATTGGTGACAATTTTCCCCTTAGAACATAGTCCAAGAAAATTACATTATTATGACGTTTAGCTAACGACACGACCAGACTAGCTTGGACCGTGCCCCCAAGGGATGAAGCTGTAGAGCTGACTATGAACGGATATCGCAACGAGTGAATAAAACAGGAATACGCACGACTGCGATACCCAGCACACGTCTGCAAGAGAACCGGAAGAACACCTAGCGAGGGTAAAACGACCCCAGAACCCAACCAAGGAGAAGACGGAAGATAGACCTTCGGTTTGGTTGTATGATTATCTCGAACCAAAAGGCAATGGCTGTGGGCAACTCATCTCTTCAAATATCTTTTCGGGATCGACCAGTGATGACCTTGAAAATTAGCTCGTAAATACAGAGTTATGAAAGAATGGAACAATCAAAAGCAACTATGGCCAGTGATATGGGCTGGGGTGTTTGCGGCACAAAAATCTGGAAATTCAAATTTTATAAAAATAATTAGGTAACTAGGAAAAACAAAAAGCAAATGGTCACTTGTTTAGGGGAAATGGTCTTTCCCTAACACACATGATCGGGAACGAAATAATGTTCCAGGTGAGACAGCACGATATACATAACAACGTGTACAGACAAGATTCTGGGACATAGAAATGATTAAAAATACATTCATGTCTCGAGATCCCGTTCTCCCCAGTGTGGGTACAGTCTTGATCACTCTACCCCATTTTCCACCTGTTCCTGATAAGATTTGTGATTTTAATTGGATCTTGGGAGTTTTAGTGTTTTCACAAATTGTTTTTGAGCACACAAAGGGTTCTGTATAGACAGGTCTCCGCTCTACTGACAATAGAAAACGTTTTCGGAAAGGGGTTCCCCACTGGACTCGCTTCTTGCAAATGTGTTCGTGGCCCAACTGAAAAGAAAAATCAACTAAGGGATATCATTCATCCACTCCCACTATACTTTCGCTATGTCAACGATACTTTTATCCGTTCCGATCAGTGTATTTTATCGAACATAATATTGGATCATTTAAACCAGGCTCAGCCGTCAATCAGCCTTATGATTGAAACGGAAGATCCGGATACGTTTCCCTTTTTTCGACGCTAACCTCAAGAATGGACCAGATAGAAAGTTATGTCGTTTGATTTTTCGCAATCGAAAATGGTTAAAACGGTTAAAACATTCAGTTCCAAAGTTTCTTTCCAATCAAATTTAAATGAAACTTGGTACAATCTCTGAACTGTAGAACACTAAAGATTCATGGATTTATGGAGTTCTTGGAGGAAGTACTAAGAAGCATCAAATTCGCGCTCTTCAGTACTGAATAACCGGAGTGATTCATCGGGAGAAAAAACCATGGCAATCAGTGCCGCTAAAAAGAAAGAACTATTCTTGCAGTTCCCATTCAAAAGAGATTCGAATAGTGATCTACTCAGAAGACGCTTGAAAATTGTAATCATAGGAACATATCCAGCCGCGGATCCGCGTGCAAAGTTTTCCAGCCGGCTACAACTCTGCACAAATTTCAAGAACAAACTACTGTCCATCCTCTTCTCATCCATGATTGCATATTCTTCCACTTGCACATGTTACTTGGGACGAACTGGGAGGCAGTTTTTTTATACAAAGAATCAGAGAATGCAAACCGGCCTGGCTAAGTATGGGGCGCAGAAAAACAAACAGTAACCAGCGGGAAATTGTGGTCTACCTCGTTGATACCGGGCACTAGACCAACAACGATGCATATAAAGTCAGCAGCAAAGTTCCCTCCTCCTTCAACAAATCAAGTCGATCCAACAATATCAATTGGGAACGGTGGAAGCATTAGCAATCAAAATGCTAAATCCATCATCGTGCACGCAGAAGAAAATGGTTGCCACACTCCAGTTGCCAAGGCCCGACCCAAATCGATGTGACGAATGGAACCATGATTTGGTTTTACATCGGGATGACGTCACATGGTGTGACACGTCACACATCATGAAAAAGGTCATTAGAACTATCCAGAATGGACATTGATTCTCGTTTCTTAACGGGCCAGTATAGAACTTGACAGATATTGTTGTTTTTCTCTATTCAACTAAACGAATCAATCACTTTTCATTCTACCTTATATATAAATACATATAACCTTAAATGTCTGAAGACAAAAACAGTCTTGTTTGCTACATTGAAATCTTATTTTCCATTTCCCAGCTCTTATCATATACCATATACCTAAACACAGTGTCAGTAGTGAATCCCGTGCGCGTGAATGTATACTACTTAAGAAAAACCCAGCTAGTTACTGAGGAAAGCAATTTCACTTCAGGTGTCATTTGAAAACCAAGATCATGGTCACGAGGTCAAAGTGTTCCTATACACGTTACTTATTTTGTACGTACAATTTCTTTTCAGGTTGATAACGTGAATGTCTACATACTAGGCTTCATAGTTCGCTAAAATGTTTACAGGATTTATCAAAATATTGTTGTTGTTGGTTGCAAGCTCTACGATATGTACGTATGTACGAATTATTTACGATCAATCGGCGAAAATCGACTGACTTTAACAGAAACTAGCCCTCAAGCATACAATAAACATCAGAATGTGTACGGTAAAAGACTGTTGAACACCAGATAGATTGATTCACATAGCACAGTAGTTTTACACTGTGTGGACACAAATTATACTCTGGACGTGGCCGAGGCTTTCCGCCCCGCGCATAAAGTTCGTGGATAAATTATTGTGGAAGGTTGGCTTCCGGACGCTGGGACAAAGTGGAAGCAGTGGGAATGCCTCTGCTCAACCTCCCGCAGTGTGCCCCAAAACAATTTGTGTAGGTGCTTAAGTTTCCCTGGCCCACCGATCACACACACACACACACACACACGTATACACACACACACACACGCAAACACAAACACCGTATCACGAGTAAGTTCGATGATCGGACGAGTGAACAAACAAATATGTACTTGTGCTGAGGCTGTTTTCCGATCTCATGATGAATTCGTTTCTAGTAATCTGTGATTTTATTTTATTTTCCTATGATAATTTTATTCCCCGGTAGTAGTATATATATATATAAAATAGTGGCCGATTGTGATGCACTGGAATATTTCCTGTCTGACTAAAATCAGCTTCGTGACATTATTATCCCTCGTTTACTTCGATCTACATATCAATTAAAAGGTGTCTGACCTTGGTTGCCATAATAAAATAATCTCAACATGAAAATCGCAAACCTTTTCAGGTATAAAACCACAGTCTATTCTAAAAGGAGCAATTCAAGAATTATCTCAAATCATTTTTTATAAACCCTGACCATCTCAGTAATTTATTATGAGGCATTATTTTATCCAATATATATTCCATAATGACAAATCTATTGAATAAATGAATGATATTCTTTCACAACCCGGAAAAATTGCATTAAATACGATTTAATAATGATAATAATCTATTTTTGTTCATTGACTCACTGAATACGAGAAATATCGTTTTCATCAACATCAGCTTTGAAATCAAGGTCATTTTTGTGCGCAGCTTCGGACAATCGTATTGCCACATTCTGAATCATTCCGTCTGCGGAGTATAAATTAATCACGATGATCACTGTTGTAAAGAATCATCAATGTTTGGTTATCATTAGTTGGAAAAAATACGTACTTCAGTATAAATGTTGTTGCCTATACGAACCCTCGAATTCATTACAGAGACCCGTTGCTTCAGTTTTGATTAGACATATATATATATATATGCTTTTCTGAGGCCGAGCTTCTCATATAGGATGGTTCGGATTGATCCTGTTAAACTCCAGCTGGTTTTCTCCAGCCGTTTCACTGTCACCCGCGCACTCTCCTCCACCAATGCATGCACGGCAGCAATGTTGTCCGCTGTAGTAGTCTCCACAATTCGACCACATCGTGTCTCATAATCCTGGGATCGCCTACCACACTTGAATCCCTCAAACTTCTCAAACACACTGCTTCTTGAGAACCCAGCTCGCAAACGATCGACATTCTGCTGTTTCCGCTTTAAAACCCATTAGTAGTCCCATAAAATTATCGCATTCCAATGACATCGACTGCGTTCCATTCTTATAGTCCGAGTATACAACGACCCTCATATGACGTGTGAGCTGTGATCTCGGCTGTGTTGATATTTGGTTCTCTCTGTGTGAGTTGCAACCACACTGAACAATATTCATCATTGGATAGAGCTCACGTTTTCCTTGCCCGGTCATTTGTCTGCACCTCGTACTCGTCGTGTGCTGACTGCGTGTGCGCCGGAAACCGCTTTTGCTCAGCCCTCGGTGTCTGAGAAATCACCTCGAAATTTTGTGGACGATACCCAACTATCTGATACATGACTTCTACAAGCCAAGCAAGAAATAGGGTGAGTATAAATTGTGACAAGTAGACAGATTTCAAGCAATAGTTTCAATACACGCAATACACATAAACACATACACGTAATATTGCTATTTCTTGCTTGTCTGCATTGGAACAGGTACAAGCAGTGGTCAAAATGATGGGTCTGAATGATGGTGCAGTCGTGAATTTGGATCCGGGCGAGTACAGCGAGTCCTTAAACCGTACCACAGAAATCGGGTCGGACGAGAGTATCGCGTAAGTTTGATTGTGTTATTTATGTCGCACAGTACAACACACGCACCTCATCTTCATGACGGTCGGTAGCAGAATAGGGTACAAAAAACTAAAATAGAGAATGGTTGAATTTACTTCAGAATTAAGAGCATTGCCGAGTTCAAAAGGTTAGAAAGACCACTGGAAGGAAGACTTCTTCTTTTTAATTATTCAGTCTGAAACGTCTACATCGATATTCAATCACAGGACGGAAACAAAAATCGGCATTCACTGAAAGTACCGTGGTGGAAGGAACACTGCGGGATTTTGACTGAACCGATTAGATAATATAATAATTCAGTCTTCGGATAGTAGTTGATTGTGTCCCATTGCTGCCGTTGTGTGCGTATCTAACACTGGTGGTTCTTCATAGAAAAATTTCTCTAATTTATAGAAATATACCGTGATTCCGTGGATGACCTAAAACGACTTTCGAATTCTACTAAATACCCGTGTTCAACCGATGAATAGAATGATTCCAAAATGTGGAAAAAATACTTGAAATCGCATCGATCACCGTCTTCTCTATTCCCAAACCATGTGGCCCTTGTTGTTATATTTTCTGTCACAGTTTCTGTTTCATCTTGATCTCAGCACACGACTCTTGATGGTTTTCTTTTATTACGCATCTTGGTTTGAGGAACCGCAGACGGGGCGAGCCACATAGTCACGAGGACCCGCTATTCAGTGATGGAAACCGGTAGCCGAATCCCGGGACTTGGAGAGACCCGGATATAGTAGGCTACTGCAAAGCTGCCTACAACCAAAGTTGGGTAGCGGTGGCTGGACTCGAACCTCGGACCACAGGATCCAAAGTACGCCGGTGACATCGACTTGACCACTGCACTACCATCATCCCAATTTGATCGGATGAGCCACGGAAACAAAACATTCTTTTCTCTCATCGCTAGGCAGTTAGTAATTATCTAATTCTTTATTGTGAGGTTGATGGCAAACGTTTATTTATGTTTACCTCATCCTGTCTACCAACAAAATATCGAGGTTGGTCGTCAACCGGTGTGTATGAAGAATGTTAAGGAAAGGGTTGCTGATTTGATAAATTATTGCAAGGAAATTTTTAGTTTTAGGCAATTCTACTATTAACCACTTAGAATAGTCCTAACTTCCTGTTGCATAACAATTGCATACCAATTTAACACGAAGTGTGAACACAACTTCAGACGTTGACGTGAACAAGATATGACATATTTTTGATGAACCCGTAGCTTGTTAAAGCTGCGATACCATGAAATGGACGCTTGTTTCAACACTGATCAATCCCCCCCACCAAAAAAGAAGAGAAATTGCCTAATCGTCTGGACTTGTGCGCATAAGTTTCCCATTCAGTTCAGTTTGTACAACCATTAGCCATGCACTATCGTGTGCCGGTTATGGTTGCTGTCTTTTCGCTGCCCATTTGGTGAAACCAAAATGTCTGTCTACACCTCTACCCCACCTGCGGACATTTGGCGAACATAAGAAAAAGTATGTTGAAAAGAACTTCTCTTAGTCTTTATTAAACGTCCTGTCCTTAGCGATTTGATGAATCCGCAAGGTAACAGCTTCGCCGACGTCGCGGTTTCTCTCTCTCTCCCATTGTTGGCCAACCACAACCATGCCCTAAATACGTCAATCAATACGAGAGAGAGAGAGCGAGAGAGAGAGAAAGAGAGAGAGACGGAACCGATATTTCGCATTATTTTATCCAACTGTAAGGTGTAGTTTTTTCCATATAAAGACGGTCACTTTCAACCCATACCGATTGCCCGATACAAGCAATGCTACTTTTGCAAATTCATGCCTGTTATGTCTTGCCAAGACGTATGATCGATACGGACGCCGTTTGACTAGCCCTCAACAATGATACGGAGAGCGAACACCGATCAGTAAAATGACAATCAGAGTATATTATTGACCATTCCGCAATATGCAAATATGTGGCAAATTAGGCGTATGAGAAACGACGTGGTGCCGTACCAATCAGATCGCGTCCTTGACACTCCGACTGATCGATTGGACAACACCTATCTGATTTGCCTTAATCATCCAATCCGGAATCGTTTCGGCTTTGGGTTTCACGAACGCCCTTGAGATGTGACGCGGATCGATGCGGGGCCTGATGGGTTCTGTGCGCTCCGTCCTAACAACCCCGATTCGAAACTTGGCGGATTGTTCTTTTCCTATTCGTCACACGTGAATGCAACTCATCCGACATGCGGGAGCATATCTCACGTACGTTATCGGAGGTCATTTGAGTTACAGTACCGAAAAGCTTTTATTCGTCTGAACACGTGGGAATTGCGAACAGAACTGAAGGCGGTTGGTTGAAAACTTGTACAGGATTCCTTCCGGGGGATTTGGGTTTCCATAATTTGATCAGCTGTTTTCATCAGAAACTTACTCACTTTACTGCGGCTGGCTTCCTGGAAAGGATAAGCCGGCTCCAGACATGATCAAGAGGTTACTTGGGAGTTTGGTACGAGAGACGACCCCCAAGGTCACTCGGTGTTTTTTTATTTTGAGAGCTCACCTCTAGCCTTTGCACAACCAAGTGCGCACTGCACAAGGCAGTAGGAAGTAATTCCTCACCTTGGATGTGAGGGGGTCAATTACAGTAGTTTTAAAAGGCCAGTCACATTAACGTTCGTTGTCACGACACCGTCATTGGGCTTATGCGGCTTTTAAGCAGGAGCCAGGTGACCAGCCTGAAACCCACCATACCCTGGTGTTGCCGCCGATGTTTGTTCGCTACTGCTTATTTGTTGCTATGTGCCACAACGTATTGACAACTAATCTTCCTCGGTGAAGGTATACCCCTATCCACAACCCGTGCATCCAAAGTTCGGAGACGCGCCCTTGGCCTTCCTATTGATTCGGTTATGAGCTTACATTGGTTTTTGTTTTTCATTAGTGGTTCAACTAGATAGCTGTAGTGTGCAAAGAAATGTTGGGTTATTAGTTATAAAAACTGAGACAAGAAACTGCGATTGTGACACCAATTTTACAGCTTAAGATAAGAAAGATATGCGAAGCTATTTTTTTAGTATTTCATAAATCTTTGATTGTTTAATAATATTACCGACCCTGTATTGTGGTTTAAACTTTGATCAATACGTCCCATTGAAACCTTGGAGATTATACAGCTGTTCACCAAACTCGTACAACATCACCCTCATTTTGGAAATCCATTTCAGCTTGCAAGATCATACTTACATACAGATGGCTATGAGTAGAGTGTATTTATTCTTGACTTCACATCCAACATTTATGTTCTTAGTTCTTTTCCGTCACCGTTTGAATTTGTGCGACCTTGAGTGTAGGGATAAAATTTGTAGTAGTTCGAAATTTACAGCTTTGATTTGAAAAATATTTCAGGCAAATCAACATGGGAATTCATTCTTTTTAATAGGTGATTCCTGTCCTTTGAGAGTTTCTATTAAGCTGAGCACACGTATTCTAAATTTCTTATCTCTTTTCATTCAGTGCAAAACTAATGAACATAGTCTAGCCTAAATAAATTGATAAATTATTTGGTTGCAAACTACTCACGCATTATGTGCCATACTGGAAGAACTGAAAACATAGTCCAAGAAACACACAAGTTGATTTTCGAAAGTTGACTTTGAGGTGTGCGGCTCGTTGAATAAGCGTCCTGTAGTGTCACCATGCCCAAACCGGATGAAATTTTCAAAACGTTTTGGCATAGAATTGAAGCCGGGAGGCAACTTAAACGAGAGGCGCGTAAATCCCATGGCCCAGTTGGTATCTTGTGGAAGTGCTTCGATGTGAACATAAGTCCAGTTGATTGTATATTGAACGAAATTTCTCCATCAGGACATAAATCGAGAGGGAGAAAACCGTCCATATCAAAGTAAGATGTTGGCTTTATATGATCGCAACAGAGAAGAGTTGTACAAAACCAATCTGGAAGGTAGTCCGAGCTGATCAACCGTTTTATCCTCACGCTTTCGTTTGGAAAATGATAGCTCAATTCAAAATGCAGTTGAGGCCACGCGATATAAAGCCGTTATTGAACGCCCAACAAAGCATAGCGCGTATTGATTTAACCAAGAAATGTGTGTTGTGTTTGTTCCTTTTTAGCGGTCATATGGCTGGGTCCTTATAGTTCATTTAGCAATTGCTCATAGTGGGACATATATTCCAATTTTTTTAGTGTATACCGTTTCGGTTAAGGGGGTAGTTGTTCGACAAGAGAGCTCCAGCTATCGCTAACATCGGACTAAATAGAATTTCAAACATGAATTCCTCATTTATAGGGCAAATGAAGCGTGAACATAAAAACTATCTATAATCGATAGATTCACATTGCTGATGAAACTGAATTAGGTCGAAACAGTTGTCCAGTACGTCCTAGCTTTTCAGTTCACGCTTCATTTGCTATAAACACGACGAATTGTTCTTAGAAATTGAATCAAATCCTCGATTACTCAAATAAATAGGTTTTGTTCAAATTTTGCGTTATTGACGTCTTAGACTTGAATAAATGTTTTTCACAAGCAGCTTATTCTTTAATAATCAAATATTACAATCAATATAAGCCCTTGGGGCAACATAAACGGTTATCAAATCCACTTTGCTCTCCCCGTCCCCCATCTAAACAATCACAGATCGAGGATGCGTACGTCGTTTTCCACGCTGCGTGGCATCAGCTCGATTGCAGCATACAACGAAATGATTCAACGAAGAACGCGACCCGAGTTCTTCAGTGTGGATCGAGGACGTCATATGCAATATCAGTTATATCGATTCAATCTGCGACAGAAAGCGGTCAGCCTCACGGTTTGGTTGTATAGCATGTCGGCTCACCCAGACAACATGTAACCAGTGGTAGTGGTAACATTCCATAGTTCACTTTCAAGCATTCTAAGGTGGGAAGCAAAAACTCCGTTGAATACAAGTTGTAGATATATATTTCATGATCCGTAGAATATCAATAAATCGCCGAAATTTCCTTGAATGTACACGACCGTGGTTGTCAAAAATGTTTATGTATTCCAAATACACGTTCAGCTACTTGCGAGTAGTGTGAACGGGAACGCGTATTATCGTCGTTAGTAGTATATAATGCTCGTTGCTTCATTACCCAGAATAAATGACCAAACCCAGAGGTTTGGATAACAATGTTTAAACGTAGTTCGTTATTTAACATATATATTGTAATTAATTATTTTTATACTTCAGAAAAAAATTAAATTTTGCAGGTTCTTCAGATGTCGATTCAAATGAAGATTTCGGGGACAGGTGGCTTATTTAGGAATGGGTCTCAAGCAACGCGCTGCAGGGAACAACCGTCACGGTTCTTGCTGTTGCTTGGAACATTGCATGGTAAGAATCAATGTCGACTAAGATCGAAGCTATTAACTGAATTTTTGACAGCCTCACATCGTTTTTATTGTTGTTACATTAGTGGGGCTAAGAATATTGAAAATATCCAACCCCGGGAAAAGCTACTCCAATTTCGCCTGAGAGTGTCGAACTATAGCGTATTCCTATGTTGTGCATTCCGTTAATTTATGCTAACGGCAAGAAAACCTTTGAAGTGCATTTCATGGCATAAAAGGGTGAAAACTGTCCAAATGATATCGTAGTTTATCGAGTTAGAAAATCCTGTTCAGTCCACAATCAGTTCCGGAACACCTTACTTCTACAGTTTGTATCACGATGATTGAAAGTTAAGGCTTTCGGAGAGTAGGTGGTAAATTAAAATAAACTATATATTTTTCCGAAGAATGTGGTATTTCATCCAGTTTAGTCTCGAACAACAACAATGAACGGAATAGGAAATTGATTTTTGTTCATCTAGTGTAAAATGCCCGAATCAACGTCCTTTTAGGGACCCTTGCAATTTCAATTCAGGAGAACTGGTTCGTCATAGACCCCTGCGTCCGTATTCGAATATTTTCTGCACCCTTAGCCTTACTAATGTAACAACAATAAAAACGATGTGAGGCTGTCAAAAATTCAGTTAATAGCTTCGATCTTAGTCGACATTGATTCTTACCATGCAATGTTCCAAGCAACAGCAAGAACCGTGACGGTTGTTCCCTGCAGCGCGTTGCTTGAGACCCATTCCTAAATAAGCCACCTGTCCCCGAAATCTTCATTTGAATCGACATCTGAAGAACCTGCAAAATTTAATTTTTTTCTGAAGTATAAAAATAATTAATTACAATATATATGTTAAATAACGAACTACGTTTAAACATTGTTATCCAAACCTCTGGGTTTGGTCATTTATTCTGGGTAATGAAGCAACGAGCATTATATACTACTAACGACGATAATACGCGTTCCCGTTCACACTACTCACAAGCAACTAGTAGTCTAATTTGAACCTTGTTTTAACGCTCATGTCCTGCTCGGAACGGGAGTGATATTCATGCCCAATCCATCTTCTATATTCTGCTTACCGAGTGCTAAGTGGCTAAGTGTAATAAACGCTGGCGCTGGTACACTTACTAAGTGTCCTCAACCTTCAACCTTGCGATTGCAGAGTCCAAAATACAGTATGAGAATGCGTGGTTAAATGTTATTTAAACAATCGTTCCAATCGTTCATTAGAATACTCTTTTAGACTTGATCGTACCTTTATGGATAGGTGCCATCGTTCCATGTACTCGTTGATGAAACAAGTGTATTCCATATGAACATAAATGCTCACTGAATCTAGACAGCTTTAATAGCTTAGCTACCAACGCGCCCGAAATAATTAGTATGTATGAGCAGCCTTTAGGTACTTCATGGTCGTTTCCATTGTTGGATGAACTCTGGTCAACTCAGGTATAACTGTTTCGTTCACTGTCTTCTCACACCCCACAAATAAACAGTATCAAAAGTTGTGAACTGTAGTTGGCCATGTATTCCAATTGATCACACAAATATGCACACACCCGCTCACACACACACACACACACACACACACACACACACACACACACACAAATCCCCTGAGCAATCGGCTTGCACCTAAAGAAAGGGACGTCCGGTCTGACGCTCCTCTGACTGTTTGAGCGATGCACTTCAACTTAATCTGTCACTTATGTTTACCGACACTGGCCATAATGAATGTGTCAATCGTTCGGAACGTACACTGGAAACAACAAGGGCGAACGAACGAGTTGTTGTGCAGAGAGCTAATACTACACATTTTTTACCAGAAAATCATGAGTAGATTGCAAAGCGAACAATCAGTTTGGAATGTGAGCAAGAAGTCAATGTCCTGAGTATATCCCGTCATAGATATTTCACTCATTTTCGATCACATGATTTCCGTCGAATGCAATATTTCGCCCGGTGTTCTCACTGTTTTCGACTTTTTTCATTCTTGTTTTCATCGATGAAGTTTTGATTATCGTAGCTAAAACAGTTGCATATAATGGTGGACACCATATACTCAATTCTGTGGTTAGCCTAACATTGCAAAGAAATGGACAAATATCTGGAATCAATATGCGGTAGTAGAAAGGTAAATAGCTACAAGATAAATAGACACTTAAAACTAAAACAGAACTGAATACTGGATACAATTAGGCTGAAGACATCATAAAAGATTTTAATTTCTTCAATACATAAGGAGAGTATGGGGTGGCTTACCTGAATTCCGCTACGAATAAACAGTTTATGGCTATAACCATTAGTAACAGGCAATGAAGTTAACGTACTTTTCATAGATTCGATTTAATTTTTCACAAAACTGACAACCGATTTTTCATATATCTCAACTAACGTGCAATTGCATAGATCCCGAAATTTACCACAATTTTTGACTCCCGAAGGGCGCGACATAGCAGGATTTTGACTGTAGATAGATAAAGAGGTAGATAGATGGACCCGGATAGATAGATAGATAAAGAGATGTACAGATGGATAGATAGATACATAGATAGAGAGAGAGAGAGAGATAGAAAGATAGATCGATAGACAGATAGGTAGACAGAAGGATAGATTCATAGATCGACACGCATAGATAGAAAGATAGATGGATGGATAGACATATAGAAAGTTACGTTTAGATAGATAGATAGATAGATAGATAGATAGATAGATAGATAGATAGTTAGATAAACAGACTGATTAGATAGATAGATAGATAGATAGATAGATAGATAGATAGATAGATAGATAAATAGACACGGATCCAATGAGAGATAGATAGAATGATAGATAGAAATATAAGTCGATAGATTGATAGATACGTAGATAGATAGATAGATAGATAGATAGATAGATAGATAGATAGACACCGACAGATCGCTAAGATAGATAGATAGATAGATAGATAGATAGATAGATAGATAGATAGATAGATAGATAGAATGGTAGATGGATAGATGGAATGATGGACACATCGAGATAGATACATATCCCAACTGATCACGATCACGCACACACACGATTTCCTCGAGCAATGGAACTGCATCCATAGAAAAGGATGGCCGGTTGACTGTGTTCTTCTTTTCTTTATCTATCTTTTCTTCACATACGTAGAATGTCGCAAAATCGCTGCGAAAGCCGAGACGTTCCGAGGTGAACAAGGAATCACGCCCGAAAGAAGTTTTATCGGATTTCTGCCTGCCATTATTGGAGGTAGGTGTGCTGTGATATGAAAATATTTATTACTCATCACAATCTCCGCAAAACACGAAACAGGTTAAGCAATTCCATGCGTTGGAAATCTTTTTGGGACGAACAAAGTGCACTGGAACTTGTTTGAAATGCATACCTTCTGTTTCCCTACCGGAGACTCGAGTCGTGATGCTTCCGGTTTGGTGAGTCAAAATACCTACCTCGAACTGCCAGACCGACGGTCTTGAGCTTTAGCTCGAGCTATCCAGAGTATCATTTTCAAGGCACTGTGGGTTTCACTCATTATCAGATCGTTATTTGCGCACCAATCAAACGCATTTATATTCGATGGAAATCTCCGTGGTAACCAAGATCATTGGGCACATGTTGATGAATGTTTCTGTTTGAAATTGAAAAACGACCCCCTAGCGGACAACTGATAGAGTTTGTCTATAAAGCATTGCTCAAGATGGAGACCACAACGCCCTACATGCCCCTAGAGGTGAATAGTGTTAAATCTAACAGGTATCGAACCGCGAAACTTCGGGTCGGGACTTTAAACCCTCACCCCTGAACTACACGGCCGACGGTCATCATCTTGTGCTAATAGTTCACTCGATTTAGATGGGAATGTATGGACCAAACAGAATGAAATTGCTGTTCAGTGCTCTTTGTCGATTATCACAAACATTTCCATCGAATGTAAATATATGACCTTGTGGGGAATTAACGATCTCCCAAAGAACCCATACCCAAGATCATCAACAGCGATTAGTGCCTGTGCAAAACGAATGGGTTAATCCAAACATTTCCCGTTCAAGATTTTGAATACGTTTTTACCTGTTCCCAAATATTCCCATTCTTCGTCGTTCTCGGTCGCTTATTCAGTGCATCTATTGACCGGACTTTGATCCAAAGTAGCTTTCCTCACGTGAGCATTTGGTCTACGCCTACGTATTGACCACTTCGCCTGCATCCCACCTCTATAATGTGAACGTACCCCGGGCTCTCATAGCACAACAGAGTGAACGGATATGCGCGACAGGATGTTCCTTGGCTCGTATTCTCGCAGCGGGAGACGATATGAGACTTTGCGGGCTAGGCACGAAGAACGACGGCGGGGAACGGCGGTAGGGCTGCGGGACAGGGGTTTGTGAGGCAACACTGGTAGACGGGTCTTCCGTGGGTTGGGGTTAAAATCGAATCTGCAAGGCAAAGCAAACAAAACGCCATGAAACAAAAAGTTTCGGTGAGATGCAAGCACTCACGATAAAATATTGCTGGCGCGGTTGCCAAGCTTTAAACCCTCGATGCCATATACCCCTCTGGTTCATGTTTGATCATGTGACCTTTCTTTAGTCTCTCCGTACGCACATGACGCCTCGCTCCACACACAAACACAAAGACACCCACACATACACACCTAACCCAGACTCGAATAGATTGCTATTTGGTCCAATGAATTGCACATCGAATCTTTGTCTATAGACCGCATGGGCAGTTGACCTCTCATTGATCTTCGTTTCTGGTCACAGAGTTGTGACCTCCCTTGTTTGCCCATTGAGTTCTTTGCTTGCTATCCTCAGTCGCTTCGTTAGACATTTGCACATTCGGTGAATCCCCTTGGGAACATATCGAATTGAGGTGTGAACATATTTGAATTTATTCACACGTTTGTTTATGAAAGTCCCCCTTTAAACAGATAACCCAGACTATTCCAACCAGTCTTCTGAGGCTTTTGCGTAACTCAATTTCGCTCGAGATCCCGATGTGTCTAACAAATAGCAAACGTTTTAATAATGCGTTCCGGTTCTCCTCCGTCGGTAGTTAATGCATTGTCTACGGATTGCATAGCTGAATGCCATCGAGTGCGTCTCCAGGTCGCGGACAGGAGAACGGCCGCCTTGGAGGGGAGTTAACCATGAATAAGTGACGTCCACCCCACGGAATAATCGGTCGCTGAAGATCAGCGACGATGTTAAAGGACGCGGTGGGGTTTCTGGCTGGCAACCGATATCCATTTTAAAAGCCAGAAGTCTCTTCTAACAGCATCGTGAAGTGTGCAAATATGGCCTGCCTACCAAATAAGGCCATTGCGACTTTCCTGCACACCGAGGTGGGACAAGCTTTGAGAAAAGTGAATGAAATAAGTACTGTACTGTTCTCATCCAGTATTAACCAATACCCATGATTCTCGGTCCACAATCATCTAGCCGAAATCCGCAATGCCTTAATCATGATCCGTAGTTCTTTAACCTAGACGCTCAAACTTGAGTCATACCGCTGTATACGAGTCAGATTAAAACGTATCGGAATATTCTGAGGTTAACGAATGTTGAAAAAGTTATTTTCTGTAAAGTTTGATGCTGTGAGGCTTGGTTTGGAAATCAGTAAGTGTGAACGTCACAAGTTGCACCACATGTTGATTGGAGAAGGCCTAAACGATATGCCCATATCGTCAAACCATTTGGCACATCTCGTACGGGTTTCACCTAAAGCCTGATGGGCAAATATTTGCTAAAGAGGGCATTTTTGTGAACGGTGTTTATTATTCTCGGATTGTTAATGTATCCACATCTCAAGTGGATATACGGCATCGAAGCATTCATTTTTTATTGTATTACTTTTGATTCATGTCTATCCGAAGTCCGCTGGCCTGACTGAGACACAAACCAAATCACTGCACCACATAGCGACGCAACCTACAGGTAACAACACAGCGTACCAACTGGCAACTCCGGTTTGCACGGATTGAGCAACTGGGCCAACAATGCCCTGACTTGGGAATCAAGCTCTCTCAGGATTGTCATGTCGCGTTTCAGGGGTAAGCCGTTTAACTTGACTGTCAGCGCTGTATACGCTCCAAAGTTACATGCCGAAGAGCCCATCAAAACCAACTTATAGAATAAAGCTCAAGAGGCAGTGAACCGTAGTCCGAGACGCATTGGTCCATCAGGCGAGCATACTCGGCATGTTCTCGGGGAGTTTGACCTTGGTCAAAGTTGTGAAAATGGCGAATGCCTATTCATGTTTGCTATCTTTAACCGGCTGGTTGTGGCCAACAACCATTTCCAGTAATTCAGAAAACACCCACTTACGTATTACTCAAATGATGTTCAAACGGAACACCAGATTGATTACATTTTGGGTAAATGCACGCTGACCCTCTTCAGTGAAAGATTACTGTTCCTGTCGCAGCTCAGAAAATGGAAAGAGGAACGGCATGGACCATACCCTTGTACGCGCGCTTCATGGTCAACCTGACTGCTCGTCGGAAGACTCATCTTCCGAGAAAATTCAATGTGGTTCTTTTGGGACAACCTGAGAAAAGATAGACGTTACTAAATGCAAGGACTTCCAACCTAGCCACAACTATTTTCGACGAGTCAACCGTCGAAGTACAGTGGTCCGTGCTGAATACATCCATCAGAGAAGCGGCTATGGAGAAATTAGACTCCTCGCCACAAGAAAGATTAGATCTCCGAACGTAGATTGCAGTTGTCCGCAAAGGTAAAAGAGGTGCTGTCGATCAATTCTCCTAAATTCCGTGTTCTAAGTCGCCAAGCTATACACTCCGCCATGAGGGACCATAAGGCGATAGTAGACAGTATGGAGACTGCAATCGTTGCAACGGACTTTGGAAAGCTATTTCGTCTAATCCGTGGCGTAGCAGAAAAGAAACATATCGGAGCCACTGTTGAGCAATGCTATCAGTCAACTTCTCCAGGGAAATGAACAAAAGATGCGAAGGTGAGTCAAACACTTTGATGGGTTTCTCAACCTCCCATCAAACCTACGTGGCTGTCCACAGACGTCAAACAGTTCAAATATCAATTGTGACCTACCTAGTAGGACAGAAATCGCCAATGCAGTCACTGCTCTGAAAAGCAAGATGTCCCCTGGAGAAGATGGGGTACGACCAGAACTGTTCAAGGCTTGCCTAATAATTGTGATCAATCCGCTGCGCCCTCTTTCCCATTCCATTTGGGCAACTTCAACTTTAGTCCTGGTTCCAAAACGGGTGACAGATCTAGATGTGAAAATGGCAAGGGTATCATTGATATTGCGGTTAAATTGTTTGTAGAAATACTGCATAACCGATTTGCAGTCGTCAGAGATATCCGCACCCACCCAAACCAAGTGGAGTTTTGGCATGGAAGAGGCTGTGTTGAACAAATCTTCATCCTCCGTAGGATCCTGGAACACTGCCACAAGTTCCAACAACCTACCACGGCATGTTTCATTGATGTCCTTCCTGCTTTTGACTCTATCGATAGTGAATCCTTGTGGTGCATATTACGGTCCAACAGGATACCTGAGATGTTCACCAGGCTATTAAATTCATACTATACAGGAACCCGAGCACGCGTCTGTACTTGTGGAGAAGAATCAGCTGAGTTTACACTGAGCTCTCGAGTCAGGCAAGGTTGTCCCATATCTCCGATGTTATTCAATAATGCAACAAGCACGCGGTAACTACATTAGAGTGCAGCTTGGCTCAGATATGTGGATTGCAGACTTGTAGTTTGTGAATGATACTGTCGTACGTGAAACACCATGGATAAACTCCAGCCTGTTGTCAGTCGCAGTACTCAGCTTGATCAGGCGATTTAGCTAGAGGTCATTACGTCGAAAACCAGGACACTTTCGACCGAAACTTCTGCCATAGCACAAACCATCTTGACTAACGGGGAGCGTGTCGAATCAACCGAAGTGTTCAAGTATATTTGCTCTACAATCAAATTCAACTTCGTGCAAACGGAGCTAGAAGAGCCTTCCTGCATTTCCTCAGGCCGCTTTAGAACCGATGCGAAATAGGCCTAAATACTAAGCTTTCAGGTAGTCAAGCTCACTGAGTGAAACAAGCTATTTTTCGATAATTTATCATCTGCCGACAATTAGTCATGATACCAGCTTTGTGGTCTGGTACTCACAAGTGTGAAAGATTTCAAAATCCGTCTAAAGATTTTTCATACAGATTGTAAAGTACAGTACAGTACAGTACAGCACAATAGAGCTCTGAATGGATTATTTCTAAGCAGAATTTAAAAACAATTTGCGAAACTGGATTTGGAAAATCGATTTCAAGGTTTAGTTCTTTTTAATCAATTTCCGTGTTTTTTCCTTCTTGGTTTCTGTTGTCAGGATCCGGAACTGTTGGATCCGAGGAAACCCTGGATGCTTGGCGTTTTTGACCCGAGCGATGAACATGCTTTCGAGTATCTTAAGGTCTGTTTTGTGCCAAAATCCTTCAGTTCACTGTTGCATCATCGATTGCGCACACACTAAATGTCTAGTACCTTGAAATGAAAAGAAGTAATCATGTTTACTTCCGAAAAAGACACGGAGTTGTCAGAGTGCAATTTATGAAATTTGCATTGTTTTTTATTTCGGAAAACAGAAATGTGGTGAACAAGCTTGCACTCTGTATGTCTGTGATTATGTTTAGACACTGTAAAACTGTTTTCACTACACTGCATGCCTCGCAAACACTGAACTACCATTGGTAACAAAAATGTTTGATTACTTACTGGGATTCATTCACTTTCATACCGAAATGCCTACACAAAATTGCGTCATTTTGCGTGTAATTTAGTGCTCATTACGTAAATTGTAATCTCAAGCCTCGTGCTCAAACAGCTTTGTGATCCTTTCAGATGAAAGTATGACTACACATTCTTACTTTTATTAACCTATGATAAACATACCAAAATGGGGAGTCGTTTGTTAGATTTTTGATGAACAGAGGAGCATTTACCTACCCAAGATATATTATATTTGTAGTCTATACTAACTGAATAAGCAACAGTAGACTAAAATTTCCAGTGACTCCTAAAAATACTAATAATAATGGTAATAAGTAGTATTAGTATATGAAAGCCAACATCCAGGGACGCATCACGTTTCTCCACAGATTCACATTCTTGTTCGTGGACAGAAGCCGAAAACTGTTCTTCAAGCCATGTTCGCCGATTGCAGAGTATCATCAGTCACTTGGTATTAGGACGATTAAATCAAAGTGAATGCTTCTGAATCGTTTTGTTTTATTGCACACATTTTGTGTGATGAACGGTTGATGGAGTGAATCCCATAGTCACGTAGACGTGCTATTCAGTGTTGGAAACCGGTAACATAAGCCCCGGGACTTGGAGTGGTGAACCACATAAGGTGTGCTATTTAACTAGATGACAGCAAAGTTATCTACCACCAAAAATGCGAGGCGGTGCCGGAGCTTAAACCTCGGTGAATAGGGTCTATTGCACACCAATGGCAGCAGCTAAACCACTGGACAACCACCACACATCTCGGATGAACTGTAGAGTTGTGGAATCGTCGATCCAATGGATTTAATCAGTAATATTCCAACCATCCACGGAACGGTGAAACGATTAATTTGACCCAGGATATTAATTGGTGCCTGCTAATGCATCAAAACGTTTCCCCTGATCGAACGAGACTTGCACACTCCTTACCTGTGCAATCGATGAGTTATACAGTTGGAACTTATATCGCAATAGAGTAAATCATGTTAAAAATTAGGTTTGACAAACGAGCATTCTATAGAAGTCTTTACATTATGACATAAAGACACTGGTCAACTGCTTACATTAGGTGAATTTGATGCTCTTACATGAGATCAATGATCCGGTCAAGAGTGAGTGCGCGCATCATCGTTTGCAGTGATTGCTGACTGCAATCACTCATTATGGCAAGTGGTCGACCTCTGTAGAATTTGTTGGTTCGAGCGCGTTATGCAAGTTACCAAACATGATCATGGCACGCGGTGTTTGCCTAGGCAGGAAGTGAATGGAAAACCTCAAGGGCGGATAAACTAAGTCATAGCACGAGGGTATGAAATCCCTAACCAAGAGGAATATTGGTTCTATAGATCGCATTCGGGCTTCTTGGATGTGGAGCTCGTGATCATGCTAACCGGCGGTTAGAGATACTGAATGACATGTGCATTGGTAATGGCTGTGCAAACTGAATCTGCTGTGCAGTGGTATCATTCCATAATTGTGGCATTTCGTGATAAGAATACTTTTACATTGTTCAGGGTCCATCTCCGGCAAGGCTATCACATCCTTAGTTTGACGCATCAGATTGTAACCCCTTTTAGCTGAGTGACAAGACGTGTGGTGGTACTACCTCAGCTGAGGTGTCAGAGCGGAAAAATTATGAAAGTATTCTGGTTTGCGGGCGGAAATGAATGTGGGTGGTTTGACTGCACACACTACACATCACACAATAACCGATTTTTAATAATCTGAACACAATGCATTCCGATATGTTAAAAGAGTTCAGTAATTTGCCCATGAGAGAGCACTAAGTGGCGCAAAAGCTGGTTTTCAGGGTGAACGTTACCTGTGTGGAATGCGCAAAATCATCTAAATGTATGCTTACTACTCGTGAGTAGTATAAAACCAGAAACAACCATGTCCTTACCCTACCTTTTTTGCTGTGATTATTTGACCTCCAATGTTTGACTCCAACACAACACTTTCCCGCTATTCTCTTAAATAAATGTGATTTTACTGGCTTTAGAAGGAAATCATCGAAAACATATGATTGCCTACGACACGTGTTCTGATTATGACTACGGGTTTATCTTGTGATTTGAGTATAAAATGTGTTATCAACTGTGAACCAGAAAAGTAAGTGCCGTGTAGTAGAAATGTGTATTATACAAAACAAATTGAATAATGATCTTATAAATTTTCAGCGTGGATGGAACTTCTTGATATATTGCAGGAATTTGTGAGTGTCATTAGCTTCATTTGTCGCTTCAATTGTCTATTCTGTTCGATGTTATACGTACCCGACCGAAGAGAGTATACGAAAGGAATTCCTCTCGCAGTGTTTGTCTTCTGACTTGCCTGTGCAAATTCATTAGGAAATGTTTGGAGTGAGAAATCAAACCACTTGGCACGTCATTCATATGGTCTACATCATGTCACTGACAGATTTTGTGATATTTTTCAGTCTGCACCAGTAACTGATCCAGAATGCTTTCACGCTATTACTGTGCATTCCTGCTCCTGAATTGATGAAGCCATTTAAGTGATTCACATACAATCATCTTGGCTGTATCCTAACTCTTGAAGGTGCATGAGGCGACCATAAACACGTTCTCTCCTTCCTTAACAAACCACGGTCTTGTAAATACTGCACACAAGTGCCAACTTGGTATCAGCCGATACATATACCGACATGATTTTCACATTTTCAAGATCAGAAATTAAAGAAAACTGGTCAGATGTTCACTCATTAGATAAATATGTATTCCACATCCAAAACACACTAAAAATTATGGAAGATTATCTAAACCTTTTGTAATACAGCTCATACTGAATAATCATCACCTTTAAGAAAAAATATGGTTTGTCGAAACGGCCAACATGGGTTAGGTCTCCACAAGGAGCGTGCGCCATTTGCAGTGCTGGTCTTAGTCAAATCAAAGCAGCAGAATAAAGATATACAGCTAGTTACATATAGAGGAATGAAAAGAGAGAGCAACTAACGTGTTCTACAGTTTGCGTTGTCACCGTTTATCCATCCGGTCAAGTAAGTGCTTGAGTGCTTGTACAAAACGCTTTTTAGTACTCAGACAGGGCGCAAAGACAGATGGTGAATGTCTATGCTGTTGCCAGGATACGTCTGGGAGAGGCTGACATCGGAAACTGTGATCCAACTCCACTACTTTTTGACCCACCAATCCGGAGCTGCAAGGAAAAGAGAAATCATTAGTTAGTTTCTGTTTACCACTTTATGAATCGTTTTGCACGCATTTGTTCACACTCAACCAGGACCCGAAACTGCAAAATGAATGCGTTCGACTGGCATTTCTCAAATATGACAGAACCATTTAAGCATACACAGTGATGTGAGACGGGGATCTGGGTTATTTCTGATCGGTTGGAGATACGATGTTACCAACCCACACACACACGTTTATGATGATATTCTGAATGCATTGATAGTCGATAACGCACATCCAGTAAATATCCTTTGTTTGGACTGACCAGGAGTAGTAGCCGTGAAATAGCAGTGTGCAAACTATGACACGTAACTTTTGAGATACCCGGGTAATACCGTGATGACGTCACAAAGGGTTCAGTTCACCCGAACTTTGTTATCCAAAGAACGGTTTTGGCCTCAGTACTATTGGTAGCTAAGACATAATTTCTCAGGTGAAAAAAGGGAACGAAAACCTGAAGCTGTTCAGCATTGTGGTGCAGTGCAGGTACATGTTCCTGCTTGTCTTGAACCGGTACATTATCGGTACATTCCATGGCGAATTACCTACCTGGATTGCGAACCGGTTCAAACCGGTTCGAACTGCGTGGGAGCATTGCCATTAGCAGATTTTGCTCACAGAGGATGTTCTACAGGACACTTTGTCCGGTATAGCAAACGGTAGAGTCGAACTCCTCCTAAGAAACAGAGTCTCTTACTTAGAGTATGCCGATGACATCGCCTTGTTGGGTGACAACCCACAGGGAGTCCAACACGCTTTGAATCGCTTGGCCATCGAAGTGTCCAAGTATGGTATGTGCTTTGCACCGTCCAAATTTTAAGTGTTTGTTCGAGACTGGCAGGAAGCTGTGCCTGCACTCGTCCTCTGTGGTGATCACCTGGAACTAGTGGAGAGCTTTAGGTTCCTCGGGAGCTTGATCGCAGCTGATGGTGGTGTTGAGGGAGAGAACACATCACGAACAGCAAAAGATAGAGCAGATTACACCAACCTGCGACACCTGCGGCGCCGTCATTACATCCAACTACCCCTTGAGGGAAGGGTTTACGTCGTCGCAGTTCGTAGAGTTCTGATTTACAGTTGCAAGACCTAGCCCCTCGGCGTCAAGGCTGTTAATCGACTTTCTATATTCGACCACCGATGTCTCCGAAACATTGATCGTGTCTGGGGGGAACGTCGTGGGAGCAATGACGAGGTTCGTCGTTGTGTGTAAGGTGTCGATAGTCGTTCCCTAACAGAAGTAATCGTTCTACATCACCTTCGATTGATTGATCACGTATTGCGCATGCCTGCCCATCGACTACCTTGCCGTGCTCTCTTCGCACGAGCCGGGCAAGGCTGGAAGAAGAGCCCCGGTGGTCAGACCATGACATGGCGTAGAGATATGAAGAAGCTGGTTTCAGTTCTGGCTTTGTTTGGTGCACCCGCCTTCCAGGTTGGGGCCCAAGGGATAAGGATCGTCGTTGGTTAGAGAGGCTGATAGATATGGCCTAGAATAGAATTCAGTGGCATGAATGCTGTACGGTCTGCCTGTCGAAATCCAGTGCCGCGTAAAAACAACAAAAAACACAAAAGGTTTCAAAAAAGTGATGGTGAATCTCACAAAATAATTGTTATCCTATTTATTGGTATCTTTCCACTTTAGTAGGTTCGTCTTTCTTACAGTGTTCGGTATCGCAACCCCCCTCCTGTTATTGCTGTTGTTATTATTGTTGTNCCACAAGCCGGTGTTCAAGCCGGTATATATATATATGTACGCATATATGCATGAAATAATTTCCATCCAAGACCAGACGGAGCCGAGTTGAAGAATAACATAGATGACGAAACTTAGTTTCGAATGACATCGTATAAATCATTATTTGGGCAATATCTTGATTTTCTACTATTGTGTGGGTAAACTTTCAGAAGTTGACACTGTAACACTATGACATTGATTCCTCGTTCAATTTCAACAGTTTCTTCAAACAACTCTGAGTGAATCCACATTACGCAACAGAATCGCCTTGGAAAGTCGTATTCGCTTCACTCTCCCCATGGATTTATCCACACTTAAAGGTATGTGTGTGTTTGTCTTCTGTTCTCTACTTCCCCGCTCATCCAAATGTTAGTACTGTCTGATGAAAGCAGT